CAACGTACAGAGACTCTGTTCTGAATTTCTCGATGTACGCTCGGTTGTTACCACATCAACATACATTTTAACGTCGAGAGAGAAGTTATCGCGGAGAATAATAAACCAAGCAACGAGGAAGTTAATGGGTAAATGTAAGTATTACCAGCTTTCTCTATTCCCTTTAGTCACGTGATCTGGATGATTTGTGCCACGGGTATGAGATATCAAGGTACAATATGCTGATTAAATTCAGGATCTTGCTTCAGATACGGGCAGAAAATTAAGCGTATCTAATATCAGGAGGGAAAACCCGTTATATTGGGTACGAGTATCCCGTGGCAATGTTATATAATAGTTGCATCAAAGTCAACAGGAGCAAGATTTAAGTAACTTGAGTAATTTTGGTTTCCTGAATATCGAGGTGTGGACCAATGTATCCAGAAACTCATATGTTCAAAGGCGTGCTGCGCACGAAGAAGTGCTGAAATTTCGAGTATGGCATGTCAACAAAAGCTATATACTGCACAAATATTTCATGCAACTCGTAAACACCTTGGTGACGAAGGATCCGGTCCATACTGTACTGGATTCCAAGGCTACTTAAGTACAGCTTTAGCTGTGTGGCTGCTATGGGAATAAATGAGCTGAGGGTATACCTCAGGAGCCGTGGCCGGGCACCAGTGAAAGTCCTTGCCATGCCGTAGCTCCGTGGATTAATGACTGACTACAGAGCTCCACGGTTTATCATTTGCCAGTGTTAGGCATGCATGTGTTAGAAGTACATTTTCCTTGCCGTAAACTATCTCTGACACAGCTGTGGCCTGTTAACCACATTTATAAGAGTAGCTTTGAATGGCATGCTGAGCTAGTGTCATTTTTCGATTTACCCGCCCAACGAGCAGTCAGCGGCGTCATTGGACTGTTTGTCTAGCCCAAAGGAGAAGTCTGATTGCTTTTTCGGCTGCTGCATCGGCTTATTTGCTGACAGAAAGCTCGATAATGATGGAATTATCCCTAAATGCATGCACGACCAGAACCCAGGTAATGTTCGAATACGACCCAAAAAAAAGTTAACGAACTGCCTTGGAGTCCAGCTTGGGAGCTTTGCTACAGCAACTTTGGAAGAAACGAAGTTAGAATCGTAACCAAGTTGTTTACGAATTGCATAAACGCGGCGGCTGCCAGTCAATTGAGTACATCTGGTCTGTTTGTCTACTACATGTACAATTATAGTACCTCACCCGACCCCAGTGTGTGGCCCTCAATGAGAGGACTTCAGCTTTAACTATTCACTGACTACTACGCACGGATGCCATGTAATAAACAATTGGGGCTGCACCTCAGGAACCCATCAGCGACAGAGCCTTGGTGTAACCAAAGCTCCAGATTGGACCTGACTTTTACTTCGAAGTCCTGTGCATTCGTTTGCAGGATAGTTCGTTCAAGGAGATGGTGATCTGGCTCTACAGATCGACTGTAACTAGGGATGGTTTTAGACTAGTTCAGAACAGTCTAAAACACTTTGAGAAAACGTCCAAAATTCCATCCCAAATCCAAAACCTTTCTAAACTACTATTAAGAATAAACCCATGCATTCCAAACGACCGAACACACTTCACCGCATCA